AAAAGGGCGGGCATCCAAGACAGTGCGTTTCACGGCGATTAGAGATGCGGAAGTAGCTGCGAGAAGGTATAATATATATATTTCAATTTTCTTTGGCAACACAAACTTTGAAAAATTGTAAACAAACATTAGTTTCGGTTTTTGCCTTAAGTCACATGCATTTTTAAATTTTACCTTGAACTGTGTGTATCGTAATTATTCTTCAATATGTATTAAATAACTCCTCGTTTTTCAGTATGCAACGAATAAAATATGATGTAATTGTCGTTGGGGGTGGTATTATTGGAACTGCCACAGCAAGAGAATTACTGTTGAGACATCCCCATCTTCGACTTGCAATAGTTGAAAAAGAATCTAAAATTGGTTTGTTCCTGATCCCTTCATTCTTAAGTTACATTATTTTCTCATTGTTATATAGTTACTATCATCAAAAGCTCTGGAACATTATTTTCTCTTAAATGTCATGAACTGCCTATTATGTGCGTCTAACAATGACACACAAGGTGGTAACTAACTATGTACTTCTAAACTGTAACTAAATTATGTGCTTACTGTTTTTAAGGTGCCTTTGATTTGCTTTTTAACTATCAAGAAGAATTTTTTTTAATACTTACATTTTAAAAATATTTATTTCTAATGATGAATTTTGTTCTGGTTTTATTAATGTTGGGCTAATTTGCTTTTGATGTACTTTTGAGCTGTTGCGTGTATTTATTTGCAAAGTTCAAATTCCTAAAGAGCAAATACAAAGTTTTTTTTAAGTATGTTAAAATTAAACTATTGCTATCAAATTTTTAGATTATATTTACTACTATGCAAACATTCCAGAGTGACTTGGCGTTTTCAATTAAAATTTTGTTATGTGACCTATAGATCTATTACTAATCCAACTTTGTATCACTTAGCTAAAGTCGTGTAAAAAAAGTATGTAAAACGTAGCTTTTGATTGATCTGCATTATTGTGTGATTGTCATTGCTTATATAATTAATCCAATTTGGAGATTGTGTTCATTTAGATTTGTTCTCTTCCTTGACTTGTTATTTGCTCTACCACTACTTAAATTGGTTCGTGTTGTAGAGAAAACTCCCAAATATGGTAGCAGAGGTTGTTTACCAGAGAAGCCGTTTGCATTGGAAAGAAGTTAAAGTGTTGAAATGGTCAATGAACAAGTTGTTGAGTGATTCAGCGAAGTACATTTTTGTCCTGTTATAATTTTACAACAACTGTTATTTTCTGATGGGTCTGCTATATAATATAATCATATAACTTGTTAGAAAAATGAATATTTATAAGTTTATAACTACTGTAATTCTTTATTTCTGTGTATTTTAGCACAATCAAATTGCTTACTTGAACTAAAGAATATCTCCTAATTGTTTCTTCTTTGTGACAACTGTTGCAAACATGTCAAAATACTTTTGTATTTTCATAAATTTAAAAATATAAATGTAGTGATTAGTCTAAGGTTGACTTTTAGTTGGTTGCTTTTCTTAAAAAAAAGTTTTTCATGTGCCACGACTTGGTTGTCGTTAAAATTTGGCAGCTTTTTTTAGTGCAGATACCATTAAGGTTATCTTTAATTGAATTGTGACTGCCAGCAATAAAATTATTCTTTATTTACTCTCTGCCCTATTTATCAAATTTTGAATCTCGATGAATGATGTCATCATCTGTGAATTACAAGCATGAATTATGTGATGTATAAATAACCTTAATTTAATTCTCTTCTGTTTCTGTGAAGTAAAAATTAATTTCAAAATTTAACACTCTTCATTTTAATCTTAATACAATGATGCCATTTATATCACGTCATGTTTTAAATACGTTATGTTTTAAAATAATGCCAAAAAGTTATTAAATAGATTACAGCTTGTCTCTTTATGTCCTAATATTAATAATTCACTATGCAAAATTATGTTAGAAATCATTTAAAAAAAAAAAAACTGGTTATTTCTTGTTGTGCACGTTTTTATAAATATTTCCTCCTTAAAAACATTTTTCAAAGAATCATGTTGCAAAAAGGCCAGATTATATCTCCGTATTTTAAAATATGTAGCAAAAAATGTAAATTAATTGCAAATAAAGTACAAACATGGACATGCTCAGTGTTTTCATCATAGAAAAAAAATGGGTGAGGATTTCTCACCCTTTCTCAAAAACAGGGTGAGATTTCAGACAGTTAAGTGAGATTTCTAAAAACTAAAAGTCTTCTATTTTTTAAAGCATTGAATATTTTTGCTGCATCATCATAGAAGATTTTGCCTTTACTAGGTATTTATCCATATTACATTAGTGCATAAAAAATTTGAACGTCTTACATGAAAAAACCTTACCTACGGTAAACACGGTTGCAGAGAAATGTGTTCCGAAAGGGGTTCGGAGGGGTTGTGTTCTGTTGTTCGAAAAGGTTCCGAACAATACTGATAAATAGGGAAGCTAGATAACGGGGCAAATGTTGAAAATAATGAAAGATCCAGGAAGAAAAGTGAAACTGATTTTATTTTAAATGGTGTAAATCAAAGCTTTTTCCAAAATGCGAGAAATTCGCGAATTTCTCGCGGTAATAATTTTTTAACGCGAGAAAAGAAAAAAATATGCGAGATTCTTGCGCTGTAGTGAAAACACTGCATGCTATAGTTTTGAATCCATAATCAAGAACCTTTCTTAGTGTATTAAAATCAAGTTTTGACATTCATTTTTATTCATTTGTTGAAAATTTAGAAAGGTGATTGTTTATAGAAAAAAGATTTTATCATGTCAATTTTTGAATTTTATTTGTGATTTATTTACATTGTTTTTTTTCTACATAGCACAAAATACACCCTTTCCTGCTTTTGGATTATTAAATATATTCTAACAGAAACATTATTTGAGTAATATTGTAAAAAGACTGTTTTATTATTTAGTATTATTAAGTATGTTTATATTAATATCATATTGTTAATATTATTCTTTTTTTTCTTTCTTCATTTTATAGCTGCTCATCAAAGTGGACATAACAGTGGTGTTGTTCATACTGGTATTTATTATACTCCTGGTTCTTTAAAAGCAAAATTATGTGTTGAAGGATTGGATCTGGCATACAAATATTTTTCTGAAAAAAATATAAAATATAAAAAATGTGGAAAGGTAAAAGTAATTCTTATGTTCTACATATAATATTGATGTGATTGTTATCTAAGCATTAATTGTAATTGTTGCTTTAGATTAACTTCTAATAAGGAACTTACATCTTTTTTCTTTTTTTTTTAAATGAGTTTCTTTGAAAAGAAATTTCTATTTTTGAAGGCCATAATGAAATGTTGTTTATTTTAGATTTGTAAACTTGACAAAAATGATTAACGTTTCACTTTAGAAACTAAGTTTAAAAATAAATTATGCAGTAAATTATAATTAAAAATGAGAGAATTATTCTAAGATGTTCTTCATGTGAAATTTTTCGTTAAAGTTAAAAGCTTTATTTTATAAATGAAAAACTGAGATAGCTTTGCCTATATATTTTTTGCCCTCTAATAATATCAATGTGTAGCAAACCTCTAATATTATTTTAATGTATAAGTATAGTTTATAATTTACTTCTTATACATCTTTGATCTTCAAGTAGACTTCTAAATTACTATTGCCTAGATCATCTTTAAGAAATGGTCCCGAATGTTTTCACTATTATCTTAAAAATACATTTTTAGAAGTATATATGGCATGCAGAAATCCTGCATCAAATTTTATTTGCTTTTAAGTGAAGTAAGAACATTGAAATTAATTACATAAAAAGATATTTCACTACACTAAAACAATTGCTTTAATCTATCTACATTTTAAGAATATCTATAAATACAAACAGGCCCACTAAAAATTTGTATAATTTTGATACTGCATTTAAAATGTGGGCTTCAAGATTTATTTAAATGTTACTTATTAAAATATGTATTGTGAAACCTGTGTTGACTGATCATAGTGCAGTGCTTTAGTGGTCAACTAATAGAGTAATTATTTTCTACTATTTGTTGTACTATTTTATTTTTGGTTATATTCAGTTAGCCAGGCTTTAGTAAATAATTTTTTTTTTTGTCTTTTTTTTGTTGAGGGGAGAGTGATGTTCAATAGCCATTTTGTTTTGTACTCAAAAGAAAACAAAAATAGTTGAATTTTCTTGAGCCTGATAACCAAAAAGTACCTTTTTTTATCTATAGATCTAGTTATTCATACAACTGTTAATACCAATCAAAATAAAGATAAATGTTTTTAAATTTCTTTTGGCAAATTTTTATGTTGCGAAATATTATCAGAATGAATTACAGTTTGTTTCATAAATTTAGTATTAAACTGATTAGTGTTTTTTTATTAAAAAAAATATGTATATATACATATTTGGCAAGTGATATTTGCCAACTATTTATCATAAATGATTTCTTAAAAAATTAGTATGAAAGAACATTTATGCACACTTAACATTTTGAAATTTGTTTTGATGTATTTTGCTAAATTTGTTGCAAATGCCTTGTACAGTTTCTCCATATGTTCAAATCGGAAAACTATTTTTTTTATTTTATTTATTTAACTCAGTAATGCACTTTTTCTCTTAAACCAGAGTTAACTCTCAATAAAAAAATTTGTCTTGTAGCATTGAATTTTTTTTCCCTTGACATTCTCAAGTTTCTAGAGTAAAATTGTTGTGGTAATTTCTACGGCTGATTATTAAATTTAGATCAGTAACTAAGGGAGAGAGGCTAAAAATTTTTTAATTGGATTATAGTATTATTTTTTTTTCATTTTTTTTTTTTTTTACAGATTAGCCAAATTTACCTCTAATTTATTTATTTAATTGGTTGGTCTGAAATGGAAATAAAACAAAATGACTGATTCATAGTTTTTATACAAGCTTATAAAAGCATGATGTGTCACTGCTCTTACTAAAGTGAATTTATTTAAAAGAATCAAGTACCTAACACTCTCAGTCCTATCATTTTTTATTTTATTTATCAAAGATGTATGTGTTAGTAATGTTCTTATAATTTTGATAAATTCAGTTATGTAAAATACTCATATTGAATTTTATTCTAATAAAAATTGATGTCTTCTCATTTATTTCTTTATTTCAGATGATTGTAGCTGTGAAGAAGAAAGAAATCAAAGCATTAGATGCTTTGTATAATAGAGCAGTTCAAAATGGAGTGAAGGATATATCTCTTCTTGATTCTCTGGGAATTAAGGAAATAGAGCCAAATATTCAAGTAATTCAATATTATTGATTCAAAATACTTCAGTTAATTATTATAATTGTTATATCATGATTCATTCAAAATAACTATGCTGTTATTGAAGGGGAGAAAATATAATCTACTTTATCATCATGCAAATTATCACTTCATGATTGAAATATGAATATAAAACATTAAACTATACTAGCAGTTATGTGCTAATGTGTTTGCACCTGTACTATGAAGCGTAGAGTTAGGGAAAGCTGTAATGCTTTGCAATCTCTATTATGCCACCAGCATCACTGCCTATGTGATCTTTTCACAAAGAACTCTTTTGTGTAATACTTGTGAACTATATGTATCTATTGCTCTAGTTATTTAGGCTATCTTCCTTATGGGGTATCCCCTTTATTTGTTGTATTACAGAAAAACCTCTTAAGTTGACCACATGTCTTAGAGGATTATCAGCTTGTTGTCTCAATAGTGGACAGTTTATGCAGATTTCACTGTATTTGAAATTTTCTAAATTTTCTTTTGTTCTTTGCATTCTTGAAAAAGTATTATCTATGAAATGAAAAATTAGTAACTATAGCTCATGCCTTTTTTTTATATCTATAGCTAATTTACACTTTTTGCACACTACAAATAGTGATGCTACTGTTTTGCGTAGTTTGTAGTGAAGTATGATACATTTTTAAAAAAAAGTATTTTAATGAGTAGTGTAAGCAGTAATTTGTAGTGATTCTTGGCAACTACTTTTAACATTAGTTTAGAAAAGCAACTTAGTTCTAAACCAACAAATTTTTTTAATTTGAGGGGAACTAATCTTCGTGGGGTTGTCGATGGATGTAATGAAAATAACCCTGTGGTTGCGGCTGAGCATTAACAAAAATTACGTATTTAAAATCACTTACTAACTGATATTTAAACTAGCCATTGAAGAAAATAGATAATTAATCACTTTGGTCGCACTTTCACATGCGAATGCACACTTGTGAAACATTAATGTTATTTCAATGGAAGGCAAAGTATTTTCGATGCACTTAATTCGTTAGACGAAAATAAAAAGCGTTAAGCAGTTAAAAAATTGCAAGTATTAGATAATTTTGCCTTTTTCAAAAATATTCACTGTCAGAAACAGGATTAAAAAAATTGACGGTTAAATAAACAAATTTGAAAAAAATAATTTTTTTTTAGAATATCCAACTGGTTCATGTAAACATGAATAAATATTTCTTAAATGTTGTTTTATATTTAATGTAGGCCAATTTCTTATTCAAAACCATTTTGAACATGGGTGTAAATTATGTTCTCCTGCATTGTTCAATATTCACTATTCACTATTGCAAAAATATTCACTGTCAGAAACAGGATAAAAAAAAAATTGACGGTTAAATAAACAAATTTGAAAAATAAATTTTTTTTTGGAATATCCAACTGGTTCATGTAAACATGAATAAATATTTCTTAAATGTTCTTTTATATTTAATGTATACCAATTTCTTATTCAAAACCATTTTGAACATGGGCGTAAATTATGTTCTCCTGCATTGTTCGTCTCTTAAAAGTAGTAAAATAATAACTGCATTTTGCAAGTAATTTGTAGTCACTATATTATTAAAAAAAATTTTTTATAGTAAATTACAAAAATAATGTCGTTTTCCCGACTACTGATATATATCTTGTTTATCATTGTAATAATGATATAGTTCATTATAGGTGCTCACATGTTTATGAATTCATTATATCTAATTTAAAAACCTACAAATATTCTTTTTTAAACTTTTTTTTTTAATTGTTTGATTAATTAGAAAAATTTAAGTCTAATGAAATTTCTGACTCATTTATTACACTGATGTGTGAAAAACATAGTGAAATTTAGCTTTCAATAATATTTTAAAAAGAAGCTACAACTTTGATCATCTGTAAAAAGGGCTTAATTCATTTTTCTTTCTGACCATTAAATAGAATAGTTTCGAATGAGAAGTTTGGTGCACAGCTTCTTTTGGTGACTATATTTTCCATATCTCTTAAATTCACAAAAATGTCATTTAATATCTTCTTCTACTAAGTACTTCTACTTTATTTGAAGTATAAAAAAATTATTTAACTCATTTCATCTGCTCTTCATATTTTCTGAAACAATATAAGTTAATAAGTCAACTCAATTTATAAAATTTAATTACGTATCCTTAATTACATATTATCTTTATTTACATATTATCTTTAATTACATATTATCATAGTAAAAATCTTCTTGCATTTTAGGGTCTCAAAGCAATTTGGTCACCAAATACAGGAATTGTAGATTGGGGAGAAGTTACACAGTCATATGCTGAAGACTGTAAATCTATGGGTGCAGATATATATTTCAATTTTAAAGTGAGCCAGTTTGTTCCCCTACAAGAGACTCGAAAAACAATTCTTGTCCAGAGTAAATCCATGGTAATATTTGTCTTTTTACTCATTATAACATATGTTTTAAATGTGTGAGAATTAGATGGATCTAATGTTTGTCTTGTTGCAGTTTTTCTGTATTTATTTTAAATGTTTTATTTTGATGCAAGAAGAAACAATTACAATTACCTATGAATAAATACTTGATTCTGTAAAACTTTATTTGCTTCAAAAAATATGAGGATGGTAATGAAAGTTGACTTGTTTGAGGATGGTAATGAATGATGACTTGTTTTAAGCACTCAAGAATACGAAAACAGAAGATACTTTGACTCACTTTAATCACTTTTGTTTTTATTCTACATTTACACCTGGTAAGACTTGAGAATGGTTACCTATTTTTGAGTGCCCAAAAAGTTGAATTTTATTATTATCTTTATATTTTTTTAAGCAAATGGAGTTTTATACTATCAAGTATATCTTTCTGCTTTAGTTTCCTGTGATTATTCATTTTATATAAATAAATATATTTAATTCTGACACTGATGTACTTTGTGTAAAATATGTTGAAAACTGCAAAGAAAAAATGAGGAAAAAAAATTAATTAAAAATGAAATGGAAAACCTTTGAAAATTAATTAAATCGAGACACATTTATGGTTTTATTTTACATTGTTTAGTTTGACACCCGGTGGCTGAGGGGTTGCGCTTCGGGTTTCCGTGCCACATGACCCAGCTTCGATCCTCAAACCGGGCAAAGTTGACTCAGCCTTTCATCCCTTCAGTGGGTCAATAAATGAGTACCAAGCATGCTTGGGAACTAAACACTGAGGGTTTCGCGTTTGGCTGACCACTTAACCGGAACATCTGTTCCTGCATCCCAGAGTCCAAGGTCAAGAAAACTGAGATGGGCACGGTAGGCCTTAGCCCTCTATGAGCTGTCGACCCACTGAGTTTGGTTTTATTTTGCATTTAAATAATAATATAGATCAAATAATAGGTACTCAATTTATATCAAATTTAGATTAAGTTGGAATTTTTTAGTCTAATGTTTGCAGCATATCTGCCTTAAAATAATATATGGATGCTATTTAGTTATCCTTATTAAAATGGAAGAATAGTGTTTTGCTGTTTTTATGAAGCTCATTAATATTCTTTCAATTTTTTTTAGGAATTATTAGGGCAGCATGTTGTAACATGTGGTGGATTACAATCTGATATTCTGGCTGAAATGACTGGCTGTAATAGACTACCAAGAATTATTCCTTTCCGGGGGGAATATCTCGTTTTAAGACCTGAGAAGTCAAATTTAGTAAAAACTAACATTTATCCTGTAAGTACTTGTAATGCCACAATAGGCATAACATATTTCCTAGCTGTTGAAACTTCTTTAATTTTTTTAACTTATTTTTTTTTTATCATTCTTAACCAAATTTTAATTAAATTTAACCAGTTATTTAATTTTTATTTTTATTACAATTTATAAAAAGGGATTATTAAATATTTTATTCTTTTCTTAACAATCAATGTAATGGCTAGCTTTTTATTTCAATACTAATGTAGATTCATTAATTCACTGTCGCGACTAAATTGAAAACAAAAATCTATTTATGACTCTTTATTTCGATGATCAACTGCATTACTAAAATGACTTATACCGTGAACTATATTTTCTTTCAGGTACCAGAGCCTGGATTACCTTTCTTGGGGGTGCATATTACTCCTCGCATTGATGGTTCTGTATGGTTAGGTCCAAATGCTGTTCTTGCTTTGAAACGAGAAGGCTATGGTATTACAGATATCAAAATGGATGAAGCATTTGATATATTACGATTCAAGTTAGTTTTTTATTTATTGCATGATTTAAAAAAATTGGATTTTTTTGAGTAAATGTTATATTTTCTCTTTTTTTTTTTCCTCTGGCTACTTCTAAAATGTGTGCACTTGTATATTTATATCAATCCAAAGTTTATAACTCATGATCTAAATCAATATTTGAACAAATGTGAATCAATTTTTAAAACTTAAATGAAAATATGCATATTATGGGACAGTTTGATTTTTTTTTCTTCAATTTTTTTATACCTGAGCACATCAAACAAGCTAAACACCTCCTAAAATATAAGTGTTGTGTTATTCTAAGCAAATGACATTTTAATTTTAGTCTTCAGTAATGAGGGATGCTTACGACTCAGTTTCTATCAAGTATTTAATAAGTTTTTATCAAGTATTTAAATAAATTAGTACAGTTTTTATATTAAATTGTTTAGAATTATGTTTTTTTTTTAAATTAGAAAAATTTCACTACTAAATTAATTTAAAAGGTATATTTCCTATTTAATTTACACAATATAGTATCAAGAAATCATCATTTTAAATTATGTTTTCCTTGAATGTTTAAATTAATAATGTTTCATACAAGTATCATATAGTAAAGAAAAAAAGGCAGGTGTTTGTTAAGTTTTAACTTTTTAATGATATTTATGTATATATATACATACACAGTGAAACCTTCGGGAAAGATCACCTCTATGTGGCAACCTCCTCTATTTACGACCACTTTTGGGCAACACAGTGAGTGGCTCTTATTTAAGGAGATCTTTTCGACGATCACTGATAGAGGTGAACTATCTCATGTTACAGTCAAGAGTGCATTAAAACGCTGCTATCAATGACTTAGTTTCAAAGTTAAATTTGGAAAAAAAAGTTATTTAAAAAAAAAAAACTGAGCATCAAAATAAAAAAAACTGTTTTTTTTTTTTTTTAATAAACTTATTTTTATGATATAAAACTGAAAGCAAACTAAAACGAAAAGCATTGTTTATTTATTTAAAATAGTTCTATCATTTATAATTGGTAAATTTGTTTTTACACAGCAGAGCTAATTTTTATTGAGGCTAAAATTTATTTATTAATCCGGTTTTAATGACGCCAACATATGTAGCATTTCTGCATCAAAAAATGACAATATTTTTTTTAAATATATATAACCGTCGTTTAACAGCACACCCAATATTATGGGTTTAGGACTACTAATGTTCAACTCCGTAGCCTTGTAATTCTGATCCCAATCCAGAAGACAACAGAACTCCCGGGTTGAGTATTAGGAATTTACCTTCGGGGAGGACTTTATGATGGAGCTAACCTGCATTTGCGTTACATGGAGAAGAAGACCACGAGAACCTCCCACAGCTAGCCTAATGGTAAGGGGACTCTAACCCAGGATTGGTCTACCACTGAGGATATTTCACGTCAGCACTGTGGTCAGTGCAAGCTGGATGTGGATTCGTATTGACCAGCCATTGCTGGGATCGAACCTGGGTTCGCCTCATTGGAAGGCGAACCCTCTATCCCCTTAGCCATCGCGGCTCATGATAATTATTTGTGAAAATTCATGTACCTTTTATGACATTTTATTTTGTAATCTTCAAATTTTATTGATATTATTGATTATAGATTTTGTTTTGTGTTTCGCTCTGTATTTTTTTAACATGTTATTTTTTTGTTTTTTGCTTGATATATTTTTTACTTAATGTGTTCTATTTTTGTTTCAGTTTTTTTGAGAGCTCCTCACACTATTGTATTGATATGTTTTGCTTAGACTATATTGATACTATATTAGAATGCACTCCTTTTTGCGAATGCACTATATATATATATATATATATACATTTACANTTCCTATTTATTTATTTATTATGAAGGTTGACTCTACTTATTAACCTAGTGTACTAAAAGTATTATTAGTAATTATTTTATTAGTTTTAATATTACTCAACTTTTAAAACTTTGTGTAATAATAACTTATAATTTTCTTTTTATTCCCATATGTAGAGGTCTTCAAAAATTAGCTATGAAGCACTTTTCCTTTGGCCTATCAGAAGTTTACAGAAGTATTAACATATCTGCTCAAGTCAATATCTTAAAACAATTTTTGCCAACATTGAAAAACTCTGATGTTATGAGGTAAGTTTTTTTTTTCCTTCAAATATCACAAGAACTTGAATATTTTTAATAAAATCTTTTCAATAATGTACAATTCTTTGAGAAAACGATTTTGTTTAGGTTTCATTCACAAAATTTTTTACTTGAATATAGTTAATATTTTTTTTTAATTTCAATTAACCTAATTATTAATTATGAACTAATCATAAAAAAAATTTCTTTTTATTCTTAAAATTATGTCTTAAAATTATGTAACAGTGCTGTATCAAAATCCTGAAAGGAATGCTACTGGCTTGACAAGTCATCCCATGTTGATTTCCTTTTCAAGAGAGCAATTTATTTAATTGCCCCTTGAGTTTTATTGGCTATTGAGCTTTATGTACCTTAGAGTTTATTAGCTGAAAATTACCTGAAATAATTATATTTGCTAATTTTTAAGTTTTTGTTTGCTAATTTAAGTAAAAACCCTAGAAAGACAAAGGTTTTTAGAATTATTTATTTTCAGCAACGGATGTTTAAATCGACGCAATTTAATTTGTAGATAATTATTATTATTTTTATGACTTAACCTGCTTATCTTCCCTTTTTATTATGTTTCAGTATAACAATGATAATATTGGTTTCAATTTACTAATGTTTATCACTAAGATTCATTATAACAAAAAAAAGAATTGTAGCTTCAAAATTTAACACTAATGTTTCAACGTAACAGTGACATTTTGTTTTTAATCTTTGTTTCTTCTCTCTTGCCCTTTCTTTAACTGTTACCCATTTCCTCTTTTTATTGTTCACTGTATAGGGGACCATCAGGGGTGAGAGCCCAGGCACTTGATGCTAATGGAAATCTAGTTGATGATTTCATATTTGATTCCGGGAAAGGGAAGTTTGCAAGAACTGTTCTGCATGTTAGGAATGCCCCCTCTCCGGCTGCTACATCCTCTTTGGCCATAGCAAAAGTTATCGCTGATAAAGTCAGAGAAAAATTTCATATCAGACAAACTGAAAGCAATGATTGTCTCTAATTATGAGAGTTATGGACAGTTGAAATGTGATATCAGCTAAAGTGCTTCTTGAACTAAATCAAAATGTTTATTTTATCTATAATTATTTTGCATTTTTATATCATAATCTAATTATTTCATTGGGTGTTATCATGCTTATTTATATTATTGTTTTAGTTAAGGAATGTGTAAATGCTCATTTTTATAATGAAGTTATTAAATTATCTTTATTTTAATAATCCTTTTGAACTGAAATGGTTTTTTAATTAAGATTGTCCAATTTAGTAATTTTATGTTAGTTTGAAGCTGATGAGAGTTTGTTTGGCTAATTTACTATATTGTTGGCTAATTTACTATATTTTTAGTATTAATGTATTTTTGTACATTATAATTTAATATATTTCTATATTTTTAATTTCAAAGTTAAAAAAACTACTACATTTTCATTGTATTTAATTACTGAAAAGTCAGGTTTGGATTAATCATTAAATAATCGGCTCATAAACTAATTAAAATCTTTACTTGAATTTATTACTTAATATTCATTATATATTTTATAATACATTATTATTTGACATAATATAATTTATTATTATATATTATTTTATGGAAAAATGTTTAATATCCCTAAAACATTAATCTATTTTCAGATTGTTTTTTAATTAAAGTACTTATACATTGAAATACTGTTAGCTTAAAATTGCATATTAATATTTTATCTATTATACTCACTTGAAATGCATATTAAATTCTTTTCAGGTCAAATATTTAATTTTCCTAACCAAAGGCTTTTAGTTCAGTTTCTTAAGTTTTAGAATTTTAAAGAGCAAACTGTACATTATTAAGAGATGTGCCAAAAATTTCTATCAAGGAAATTGTTTTTGACGGATGATATATCCTAGCATTTAAATTTATTTGTTTATTTTATGAGCTTGATAAAAATAACAAATTCAAACTCAAATCTTCAAAACATTATTCAAAATCTACTTTTAAATTTTCAAAAAATTCGATAATAAACCCTTTTTGTAATGTGCTTTAGCATTAGAAATTTTTCTCAGACTCAATGTTCTTCAGAAAATTCTGAAATGTAAGGAAGTTCTGGCAACAACAAAAAAATAATTTGGAAATCAGTTTTTGAAAATGAATTCTATTCGTTTTAAAAAGCACAATTTATTTAAATAAATAAAGGTTCAAATACTTAAAGCAAAGCAAAAAACATTATTGTTTTCATGAGTTTACTTCTGGTTTTGATTTTGTCTGTCCATTTAAAGAATAAAAAAAACTAACTTCTAAAAATTGGAGATAAACATTTCAAATGATTTTGAAAATCTTCATGAACTAAGTTTAAAAATAAATAATAGAAATTGCCGATTTTCACCAGTTGAATACCTAACACATTATGTATATTGATAATTATTAATGTTATAATATTTAGATTTTTTTTTTACTCTTAAAAAGCCCCATTACTTAATATTATACATGTACGTTTATTATATTTTGATGGGCAAATTGTTTTGACTTATTGCTGTCAATAACGACGGTAAGTTAATATTATATGTTTCAGAATTAGCATGATTTAAATTACTTGATTTCATTAAAATAAATTCCTTAATTTAATTTTGGATTTTTTATTTTACTATTCTTGTCATTATTTTTTTAAAAAACTCGTTAATTTAAGACAAATATTTCTATTTAGTATAACTTTTTTAATATATTCTTGAGGTTTTTGATTATTTTTAATCTAATTTATTGTCATAGAAGGCTTTTTTATAAAAGAAATATTGAGTGTGAGGTATATGAATTAAATAGAAAAATTTGATCATTGTCTTTACCAGGTAATGAGGATGTTGAGCTTAAATACAAATAACTATGACTTTGTTTATTCAATGATTAGTTTATTTTAATTAAAATAATAAAAACAATTTTAGTTAGAAGCATTTAGTGTTTTAGTTATAAATTTTTTAAATGTTAAGCATTATTAAAAAAATTATTTATCAGAATTTTGATTGATTAGTGTAAAAAAAATTAATTTTTTTTTAATCATAATTTTTACCAACTTTGATATGTATTAATTTTTATACTTAGGAATTCTTTTAATTTATTTGTATTAAACATACTAGTCTCTGCTCTATATATGAGTAATTGTAAAAGTCTTGAATTCTATTTAGTTTTTTGAATTTGAAGATTTTTACCTTAAGTACTTTTAGGAGCTATTTTCTTACTATGTTATTAGATTTATTTTTGTTACTGATTAAGATTCAATGTGGTTTAATTTACCTGAATGCGTTTAAAAACATGTCTTATGATAAAGAATATAAATATTATTTTTTTATAGTTTATGAAGTAATCCTTTTAATGTTGTATTTATAAAAATGTTTTTAAAAAGCTATATGTATATATCTATCTATCTATATTTTTAGATCATTGAAATATTTTTGATTAATTATAATAAAAATTATAAAATCATTAAAAATATTTTGAATCAAATTATTTTAGGATTAAAATAATAGTATTTTTGAATATTGAATGAATATTTGAATTGCATTTATGTAATGTCTGCCTATAATAAACCACTCTAGCTCAGTTAGTTATTTTAACAACTATAAAACAATACAAACACAACGCTAACAAACATCACTTTTTTTTACATCCACTCAAATTAAATGTTCGAGAGAAAGTGCGAAGAGGATCATGAGTGAAGTTTATCACTGGCGCAGTCTTGCGGGCAAACCAGGCATTACATGCCTCTTTTTCAATTCGATATAAATAATTGAACCTTTCTAGTTTTTATTGTTCCACCAACCTTAAATTTTAATATCACGAAATTTAAAACAGTGTTATACTGTAGTTAACCATTCAACTCACTTACTATAAATAAAAATGTGTTATTTCATTTACAAATGACTAATGTCAAAAATATTAGATTAAGAAAAATACTCTTAAATTTTTAAACATTTCAGATAAGTGGTAAAACATTTGTAATGTATAAACATGTTAAAGTGTTACAGTAATGTCCTAACTTCAAAAAAAACTGGCAAAATTCTGATTGATGATTGTTCAGTTTTCTAGGATCACATATTTAAAAAAAAATTATTAACTGACATTATTATGCATAGATTGCCATGGTTTGCATATAGTTATTTATTGTTATGATTTACCACTATTACTATATAAATAACTATCTGCTTTTATATTGCTTTAAAATAAATTTATTTTTATTGTATGTTTTCTGATGTGAAATATCTTCTCGATTGTATTTTACAATTAAAGGATTTTTAATTTTATTATTTTTATAAATATTCATTATAAGTTTTAAAATTTAATTATTTTGCTTCAAAGAATTATAAATAATTCTTTATTTTCAAATTTGAATATTTGAAAATGTTGACATTTGTGTAAGAAATTAGTTTTCTACTGATATTTTCTCAGAAACATTCTTCCCTATTTTCTAATGTTTAAAGAATGATATATTTTTGAAAAGGTTTTGCATAAAATTTCACTTATTTAAAAGCTATATCTTTAGGTTTTTTGGTAATCTCAGTTCTAGATCCGGGTTTTTAGTAATTTAACCCTTTGACAACTGTACTTTATGCTGAAGCGTGACATCTTATACATTGATAATGTGCTTTTTTTTGTTGAATGAATGTTTTTGCAAGAAATAATTTTAAATGTGATAAAATAAGCAGCAAGCAAGTAGTAGTAATTGGCGTTTTAAATAAATTGGGTTTCTAAATAAAATTTTTATGGTAATAAAAGTTTTATTTTAAGTTTTATCATAGTTTAGCTTTCATTTAACCATTTGGCAGCTGTAAATATTAAATATATGCTGAAGAATGATGTCCTATTCTTTGCTGATGTGACATTTTTTTATAGAATAAAATTATTTTACTAGTATTTATATGAAATTATTTTAATATAATAACATAAGAAGTATATTGACTTACTAAATAAAAAATTAAATGAATAAATTTACTTATTAAATAAAATATTTTTGGAAATTAATGCATTTCTATTAATTCAATTTGTAGCTCACATTTATTTGTTGTTTATTCAAGGGATGCATGATTAAATTTATCAGATTTGTTTGCAATAAATAATTATCAGCATACTGGCTTTTTGTATATCTTTCGTAAATTTATAAAAAGTGTTGTTTTTTTATTTTAAATGTGGCATTATTTTGTTAAAATTTAATTTTTTGGAACATCAAAATTCTTTTGTAATGTGTAATATATATTTTGCTTTTAAATTAATTATTATTCACTATTTTCCTCTTTAATTAATAACTTTATTAATTGCAAAGAAAGTTTACTCTCCAAACTTTTTATTTATCCAAACAAGTTGAAAAAATCAAAAATCACTTAGTTATTTTTTGTTATATGTTATTATTCTTTGCTTTGTTAACCTTTAATGACTATATGTCTGTTTTCAGCCCCCAGTTTCCATTGAGTATCAACAAAACACACCTACAAAGGGTTTTAATATTCATCTTAGTTTATTTTTTCTTTAAATTGTTTTCTTAATTTATTTAAAGTTGTTTGTTTTTATTTTAACGGTCAATTTAATAAAAACTAATTGATTTTCTGTAATTAAAAACTTTTTGCATTGGAATTTCAATATTTATTTTAGATCATATTATTGTGCTAGTTTTAAAATTTAGTTTTACTTACCCACTCTTCTTTCATAATTCTTTGTCGGAACCCCTTATCTCCCATATGTAATATGTAAGTTTTTTTAGTTTAAGCTACCCGTTTCTGAATGATATGCATAAATTTTACAATTTTATTAGATTGTTGTTAGAGCTTTATGTGTTATTATAAGTTCTATTTTGTGCAATATTTTGACTTAAACAAATTGTAAAAATATATATTCTTTAAGAAAAAAAGAGTTGATGAGTTAGTTTAAACTCCTGTGCCTAAAAATACAAATATGCATTTTACAAAATTGAGTTAATAAATAGATTTAGTTTCTAAAAAGGCCCATTTGTTTATTTTTATACGAATTTATCAAACTTATGTTATTATCGGCACAAAATGTATGTCATTGATTTTATTATATAATAAAAAAAATTTCAGTAACTGTGTTCATTCAATTTTGTAATAGTCAATTAGGTAATTGAGGGTAAGTAATAATAACAACCTAAACTTTAGCATTCATAGTTTTGTTTGTATAAAGACTAATGAATAAATCAATAATATGCTGCACATGTCAGTGACATATTTAGAATTGTGAATAGTGCTGTTCAGTCAGTAACATGCATATGTTGGTGGCAAGTTTTAATATTATTTTGCTTAAAATAATAGAAAAATGAAGTTATCTATGTACTTATGCTAGAATAGTTATGCTTGTTTACTGAATCAAAACAATGATACATACTTTTAATTTTTTATCTCTGTACCTATTGCATTTTTTCAGAAATGTCTGTTTTGCCTGTATATTTGTTGAAGTTTTTTTTTGGAACTGTGATAGTTTAACTGAAGAATTGTTTTATACGCAAACAAGAGAAGGGTTACTAGCTTAGCAATTTTTTAGTAGAGATTAGAAAGTAGATATTAACCATGTATTTATTGTAAAAAAAAAGTATGGATATTGAAATTTACAGGAAAATATTATATGATATTCATTAATAGCAAAAATGTCAAAAGTTGTTAAAATGAACTTTTAATATGATTCATCTGTTGAACTTAATTGTAAAAATAGAGGGAGAAATATTTTATTTTGAAAATATTCTTATAAAATGTGACAAGTCTGAACAATAACACATAGTTTTCAAATTAAATAGTTTATAGAAAAGGGAGGGAAATATTTTATTTTAAAAATATTCTTTTCAAATTTGACTTGTCTAAACAATTACTTAGTTTTCAAATTAAATCGTTTATAAAATAGAGAGAGAAATGTTTTATTTTAAAAAATATTCTTATCAAGTTAGATAAATCTAAACTATCACACATAGTTTTTAAATTGATCCCAGAGTAAGTAAATGCATTGTTATTTGTAAAGGGTTGCTTGTTTCTCTTTTAGTTATGTTTAAAATTCGATGAGGTGATTTAATTTGAGCTTTTTGCACATTTACATTATTTGCTTGGATTATAAATAGTATATTATTCAGAATTGATACTAGAAGAAGCTAAATCAAAGCAATTGCAAAACATAATTAAAATTTATGAAGACACATAAAATCATATACAAAAATAAGAAAAATATTTATTTAATTCAGTCCAATCATCTTTAAATATTCAAATACAGATTGCTTTGTTTTGTTCCTTAGTTGGTCGACTATGTCTTGCGTGTCTTGCATCTGGGAACTGTTTGGACTGAAGAGAGCGATTATACCTCTAATGCCATTATACTGAAATGATAATAATATTTTTATATCAGAAACTGTAAAAAAAAAAATTTCTATATTTTAAACTAACTAAATACCTGTTCTTCCTATGGGGTACAAAAAAAGTAAATAATCATTAAATCGACATGAATCAGCTCAACTAAATAATTCGCAAAAATAAACCTGCACGATTAATTAAGCTAATAGTTCCAATTTTTTTTTCCTTTCTTGGTGGCTTTACGTTATATTTGTTATCATCCCATCAAAATAAATATTAATTATATTTAGTGCCATTTGGGAATATAGTTTCTGCTCGAGGTCAAATTCTGGTAACCAAAAAATTACCATAATCAACAACTTTTTACAGTTCTCATCCCTTTTGGTGGGCAATGAAAATCTTTTTCCACAGTACCAATATTAGTATATTTGTACCCATTAACATGTCAGTAGTACCTATTTTTAAAATTAAATAAGCGGACACCAATAATAATAAGGCAATGTTTTATGGTTTTTCTAGACGAAGTACATTTCCACTATTAATTTAATGTTATAGCACAAAGCTATTTTTTTATTTCAATTTTTACTTATTACAAAAATTAATTGAGCACCATTGTTCTCATTAAAAAATGGTAATTTTTTACGGTTCTCATATACAAATAAGTACCTTTTCTTCTCTCAATTTAGATTTATAATAAAAAAAATTAATTTGTACTTATTATCGAAATAAGTTAATTATAATTTTCGATAATGATAAGTAATGACACTAATATTTTTTCGAATAATTTTTGCGAACGAATTTAAATCTGTACTTATTTCGAAGACCACAAAATTCGCCCAACTATTATTGACGTCAGTTATGCTTAGTTAAAAGTGGTATTAAATGCTATTGGTTATTACCGTTATAATTATTGTGCAAATGAATTACATATGATATCAATATAAGTACTGTGGTTTATAAGTTTTTTTTAACCATTCTTCGAAACGGATATGTACCTTAATATCACAATACTACACGTTTTTGACACCCAATACACATCCTTTATTTTTTAATATTATCTGTTGTACATTCTGTAACGGCTTTATAATATTAGATCTACCATAATACGAGTTAGAAGTTAAACTCATCAAAGGAAAGATTAAATATGCTTATAGCATCATTTAAAACGTGCTATACAGAATTTGCCAAAATTTTCCTACTGCCTATTACGTAAAATTTTTTTTTTCCTTTTTAAGTTTCCATTATTCAAGTTTATAGAACACTGAGTCCAGGATCGAATTCCATCTTTTTGGACTGAATTTTATTCTCTTACCTATGGGCTTCCTCGTCCCTCAAGTTAATATAAAACTTATGAACGGCATGACTTTGAATTATGAAATTTTATTTTCAAAATGCGTGATAAGTAGATTAAGGAATTGGATTTTTAAAACATAATCTAGCGTTGTATAACTGTTTAATTGGGCGAATGGATTTTATTTATGAATTCGCGATCACAACGTTTGAATGCGCCATCTGGGGAGAAGACCAGTTCCATGTCTTGATTCTCTCCCTTTCCTTCTCCTCTTTTCAGTTCTATAGGAATGAGCTACGATATTTTCCCCTTTCGGAATATTTTTCGTAAATTTTCACGATGCTTTCTTTTTGAACTACGTTCAATGTAGTTTTGAGTTCCTTATAATATCCTAACTTTAAAGTTTTTAATCTATTTGAAAATCAGGACAGAAACTTGCATACTTCCTTCTCCTATGACTCTCCACACGCTAATTGTGAAAATATGCGAACTGTTGTCATTAGTAGAGAGTTCTGATCTACGCCAACTGTTGCCCATCTCGATCGCCAATTATCAAAAGTTGGCGTTTCAGACTGTCGCTTTCGTTTTTTGAGGACTTTAGTAATACTGTACAATTTTGTCGCCTCAAACGGACATAACAATTATCACCGGGGTCTCAGTTTTAAAACTGTATTTTTTTTATGGGGTTACATCAAAGATCTGTTCGTGCCTCCTATGCCACGTGATTTAATAGATTTACGACGAAGTATCGTATTTGCTCGCATTGATCACGAAATGTTAGCGAAAATTTAACTTTAGACTTGTAGTCTGTCACAGCTCCAAGTGTTCGTGCGTTGAACATTTATGAGTCAAGAAAAAACTTGAAAATGTTTCTTTATGAGGCAAAGTAAAATTTGTTGATGTATTGGTAATATTTTGTTTGTTACAAACCCTCCCAATTCCGAAGGGATTTATGACACACTCTCTTAAGGTTATGTTACACTAATAATTTACTATTTTTTCTATATATACTTTTTTACTTTTGATACATTTAGGATTATTAGTATCTAATAAAGAAAAAAATGTATCTAATTAAAGTTTGTATATGTATCTAATAAAGAAAAATGTAATCTAATCTAAAATGTATCTAATAAAGAAAACCTGATTACCGGTCGATTATTATTTTTTTTAAATAGCCTTGTACCAAAGTGGCCATAACAGCGAAAAATTAAAAAAAAAAAAAAAAAATGGTAGGGATTGATTGAAGAAACTTAGCTATTTTTAACTAATTCTTATCAACCAAAATATATTTGTAAATTTAATGAAATATATCTATATATTAATGATATCTATCTATATTTATTTATATCTATAATTATATAAATAAATTATATAATGAACACTAACTACGTATTATTTGTTTTGTATGTTAATTCAAAATTGACTATTTCATCTTTTAATTCTTAAACATATTATTTCAAAACTTTACAATAAAAAACAAGAAACAGTAACAAAAATAAACATAAAATCTCAAGCATTTCATTGAAAAATTTTCAATTAAAAAGTTTCTTTTTTTTTTTACATACCAAACTGATTATTTGGGCGGTCATTTTCCATCCATATTGTAAACCCCGTCTAATTTGTTTAGTCATGCTACTTATTGAAGAACTCAAAGAATCTCCACAACACCAAGATCTGAAAGCAAAATACATTTAAAAAAAAAATTTATAATTATTCAAATTCCAGTATATGCAATGTAGCCATTAAGTATACTACAAGATAAGTACTTTTTTCATTTTTTTTACACTAAAAATGAACTATTGGATATTAAAGTTTTTTTGTGTATCAATTAATAAACTTCAATGCATCCACCTCGGCTCTCATGAAGCCTATCATTGTGCAAACAATTAACGAAAATAGATTGAAATAAATTCTGCTGAAGTTTCGAATTTTTAAGAAGTCTTGGAAAACATTTTCTAAATTATATAATATGTGTTCCCATTGATTATTAGTAAAGATATTTTATTGTTAAAGTGTTTAAATTTCTATTATTTTAGTTTTTAAAAAATGCAACTTAGATTATTGTATCGAAAAAATTTTAATGTAGAGAACAAACTAAATGATCTTCTTGCAGGAGTATACAGCCTCAATAAATGTCCATAATTGCAAAAGTGTTGCGAGTGCAGGATTTTGTTCTCGAACTGACCCCTCAATATGCCATAAATGTTCGTTGGGAGATCACCCATGTCGAATTAGTCACTAGTGAAGCACCAGACAAAGAGTAACATTCTGGTCCTTCAAATTAGAGGTTGGTCTTAGGGTTGAATGCCCTATACCGCAAAAAACTCACTGTTAAGAATGCTGAACATAGAAATATCGAACTCACTAAAGGTAGAAGATTTAACCGAATGTAGGAAAACGACACATAGAATTATGTATTGGGATAGGGAACGTTGGAACACTTTTATCTGCGGAGAAAATGATGGAGGTGGTCCAGTAACTGATCCTCCACAGAATAAATATTGCTGCTATCCAGGAAATTAGATGGAAAGATTCTGGTGTGTTAAAGAAGAATCAATTTCATATGTTTTACAGTTATGCCACATCACAGAGAATTGGAGAAACAGGATTCTTCGTTGATAAAAAAAAAAATCGTGAGAACAATACTTTTATCTTCATCCCAATTAATGTTAAAATATGCAAATTGAGCTAAAATTCCGCAATATTACAATGATTAATTTTTATGTTTCAACGGAAAATTCTAAAGAGAACGTCAAGTCACAATTTTGTGAAGATTTACAGGCAGTTTTTTAATTTATCAAATAGTAGTGACTGTTTAATCATATTCGGAGATTTTAATTCAAAAATTGGAATGGAAGAAATCAGTTGATAGAAGAATCTAACTTTTGGGAGACATAGTATTCACTCATGTAATGATAATGGAAAATTAGCTATTATTATGGCATTTGCTAAAAATCAAACTAATCAGTGCTTGTTTCCCACATAAAGACATTCATAAAAGAACCTGGAATATTCCAGGAACTAATTATGATAACCAAATCGATCATATACTGATATCAAAAAGGTGGGCAGCATCTGTTGTTGACATGAGGTTATATAAACGCGCAGGTTGTGATTCTGATCACTTTCAGGTTTTATCCAGACAGTAACAGATAGATGGAAAGTAAAGTAAGATGGAAGGAATCTTCCTCAGAACTGCTTAGTATGGCTGATATGATGGACGACAGCAATATCACGTAGATCAGCGGTTCCCAATTTTTTCTGACTACGGAACCCTAAATTGTCCTGATTGTTGAAAAAAGTCAATTACCAAATGTAAATATACTTACAACAAAAACCTAATTAATTTAGAATTTATTGTGAAGCATGAGATTTTTTCATTGTTTTATCAATAACAGTCTTATTAGGCTTTATTCTGCTTTTAGTCTATAAGTTTTGGACGTATGCATAAATGAAATTGAATATAATAAGCTAAATTATGGTTTTTGAAAAAGAACTTATGAAATGTAAGCGTGGTTATAGGAGAAAAATAATTAAAATTTTTGGATTTTACTTTATTTTGAATTTTAATCTATTATAATAATAATCTATTATTGGTACATTAGAAAGTTATTACAAGTTTAAAAAATCATTACTGGTTTAATAAAAAGGTCCTAGCTCACGGAACCCTAAGCTTCCACGGAAGACCTTTTCAGAACCGCTGGTGTAGATGATGATATAGAGGAACTATCTTTTGACGATTTTGTGTACATTGTTAAATGAGGAATAATAAGGCAGCAGGGAGTGATGGAATAAGTGCGGAATATTTCAAGCACTCTGGAAATGAATATTTGAATTGGTATTAACTATTGGAAGAAAGGATAAAATATTCCAAATGATTGAAGAATGGGACTAATACCAATGTATAAAAAAGGTGATAAAGTTGACTGCAACAACTATCGAGGCATCACTGCATTATTTATTGATTTTAAGCAGGCGTTTGAGGTAATTATTAGAACTAAGTTAGTAAACATTTCAGCTGAGCTGAAAATTCCAATTAAGTTAAACTAATAAAAGTTATCCTCAAAGGGCCTAAAGCCGCTATTATCTTGCAGGATGAGATTACAGATGATTTTGATATGGGTTTTGGTGTCAGACACACGGAGAAAATTCATTATCTTCATTACTTTTTATTATGGCACTTGAATATATAATTCGCGCCTATTGGATTTGAGAGGCTTAATTATCAGTAAGACCATCCAACGTTTGCTGATGATATCTTTATTGTAAGTAGAAGTAGAATATCTTTAATTTTCTTTACTATTGTCATCTTATAAAGAGCAAATGGAGTAGGTCTCAGTATTAATTAACAAAACTTATCGCAGGAACAAAATCTACAATTATGTCATCCGCGCTTGCGGTAGATAACTGTAAGTTTGAAAAAGTTTCCAGTTTTAGCTACCTTGGTTCAATTATCAACACTAACAATATATCAGATGAAATTAACTCCAGGATACGAAAAGGAAAACAATTGCTTTTACTTATACCAATATAGGAACACACTTCTTACTAAAGAAGTCGGCTGTAGTAAAAAGTAGATGATTTATTTAATCAACTAATTTTCGAAATTAAAATTTTTAAAAGAATTTTAGAACCAATTAGAGTAAATAATACACAGTAAAAAATAAGAAATAGAGAACTTGACAATTTAATAAGACAAAAAAAAAAACATAATTCGATTCATCAAATTTAGACGTTTGGCATGACTGGGGTAAACCTTTAAACTCGAGACGACGAGGAAGACTGAAAAACATTTTTTAGACGATACTACACGAAAGATTTAACCATCTTGAATCTGGAAAACTGTCAACAGTAACTTGTTGACAACTTAAATCCATAGCTCCGTGGGCTCTGATGTTCCAGACTTGAACTCTCCCTTCAGCTCTGACCAGCTGAAATTGTGATTTTTCTGACCAAGCTACAATTTTTCAGTCATCTCTAGGGTCCGACCAATATAGTCACGAGCCCTGGAGATCTCGAGGCACTGGATGTGATGTCGTGTTGTTAGTAAAGGCATTCGAGTTGTTCTTCTGCTGTTCCATTGCAGCCAAATTTCGCTGCACTGTATGGACACGCCCATTTCACGTCCCGCATTGATGCTTGCGGTTATTACTCACAATGTTGTCGGTTAACACTGACAAATATACACACACTTCAGCGGTCTCCGAGTCATCAACTGCAGGCGGTAGTACACTAGATTTTATATCTGAAATTATGTATTTTCGGTATACTCTTGATACTGTGGATCTAGGAATGTTGGATTCCCTCACAGTTTCCAAATGGACTGTCCCTTGTTTCTAGCTCCAACAATAGACTGTCTAAGCTAAGAACTCCTCCCGCCACAAAGTCTGAGGCCGTCTGGTGTTATGGAAACAAGAGTGTCGCATTTTAGGGAGGACAGCTTCACTCTAGGACTAACACAATAGACCAAAGAAAAAGATTGCCTTTCTCCCCCCGACCCGAAACTACTCCAAAACAGTGACTCCTACTTGAAATAGTCATATCTCGTTGCCATAGTCACCGCCACAGGTCCAGACGAATGTCTGAAGGAGTTCTTATTTTAGATAAACTATACCACTTCACGTTTAACGTATATTAATTCTCTTATTGCCGCCATAATTACATCAGAAACATCCTCAGATGAATAACTGAACACAATTACAACCCATACATAATTTACAAAATTATTTATACCCGATATCACTGCCATTTGTATATTTCCATAGTTCTATCCCATGACTTTTATCACCTCATTATATGATATATACAGAAGAATGCATGAATTCATTACTCGTACTTCAGTTTAATATTTTTCTTAAAAGTTTAAAAATTTCTTACCTTCTATTAATTTGCCGCTTATCTCTGCTTTCCATCTGTGCGTTGTACGATTGTCGCCTTATTAGGTCCTTTAAGAAACTGGAATATGTTTGGGACATGCTTGTACAAGGAGTCACTGAAAGATTACCATATACTATATATGCGTTGTTATTAATAAATGCTGGGAATTTAAAAGAAAAATAGTTTTAGAAAAAAATTAATAAATAGTTACAACCCCTTATTCTATTTATTATAGAAGTACTATTTACCATTTGCAGTCATATTAAGCTTATTTATATGGCTAAGGTTCTTCATGTGAGACTCTCTTTCTTAAAATTAGAATACAGGTTTTATTATGTTCATTATTATCTAATATGCATGTGACCGGTGTGAATCATTTGTAATTTTTACATACTTGTTAAAATCGGAAGTACAATGCAATGTTATTTCAAAAATAAATAAATGAATAAAAACAAATAAATAAAAATGTTAACGAATCTGCAAAGGTGTCCTAATATGGGATAAAACTAAGATACTACCATAACATATCAATATGTAAGCATTGACTGTTATAATCTTAGACCATGGTTATTTATACACAATTTTCTGACCCCAAAAAAATTTAAACTACAGAATAATAAAGTATTTACTTGCTATTGACTAAAATTTATATGCTTCGAAGATCAACTTAAAACTCAACTGAAGAAAAAGCTTCTAACTCCATACATGCTCAAACTACAAAGCCTTTTTTTTTTTTTTTTTTTTTTTTTAAAAGCGCTTTANTTTTTTTTTTTTACTGTCGGTCTTCAAGTTTTTTTTTTTTTTTTTTGTAGAGTCCACCATCTTCGGCTATAATAAAGCATATTATGCACCTTTCTCGTTATCTGCATTAGTTTTTGTTGAACAAACATATACAGAGTAATGATAAAAAAAAAAAAGATAGCTAAATACATTTAAGCATAATTTATACAGCACTGTTTTGAATTATATATATTTTAAAACCATATCAACTTAACAATACTGTCGTTCAGTTAGTTCTATGAGATAAACATGGTTCTTTGTAGTGATGGCTAAAATCAAGCTTACGACTAGAATGATAAACTGTAAGTTTTAAGAAAAAAATATTTTTGGAAAAGTAAGGTTAATTAGTTTTAGTGGCTGAGACTTAGACACGCAACTGATATCAGTTAAAATAAGCTTTGATTTGATATTCCATAATGCCGTTTTGAATTAATATTCTATGATGCCATGAATTCCGTTCTCTATGATGCCTACCAAACACTGATATGAAGATGATGGTTCTGTAAAAACCTGCCATTCGTCTGCAAAAATAACGTGCTGCCATTCATGGGTCCATATGAATCATTAAATTCACCACTGCAAATGTTCCTGTCTGTGATACTGCGTCAAAGGCAGCAAAAGCCGTGGTTGCCACGTTGGCTGTCTATACGACTGCAAACGTTATCGAACTGTTTGAGCACAGACTTGTTGTCTTGCAAATTATCTCTTGTCTTAAATATGGTTGCATACTCATGGATCGTAATATCGTTGTGCGACCCCTTGCGGTCATGGGAATAAAATATCTATTTTCTTGACTGTTCATGATGGTAAAAGGACGCTGAAATCTAGTACGACGTTCTGAACCCATCCATTCCATATTCCGAGGACAGTTATACTTAGCAGGACGAGCACTAATAACGCAGTACAATAAACCTCAATTCCGGTGGGCTAAAATCTTTCTTTAATCAAAATCAGACACTTACCTGTGAGCATTTATCCTTCTTACACGAGGCATAACAGTACCTTTTTAATCAGAAAATAACGTTCAAATGCAAATTGGGTATGTGAAAATTGCTGTCGAACCTCTGATTTCACCACGGGCGTCACAGGGGTCACCACGGGCGTTGCATGAATGTGCGGAAAATTTAATCGTTTTAATACCACACCCAGTTTTATCTGTCGTGCAAATTTTATGTGTGTGGCGTGCCATCTCCCTGGTGTGACAATTTTAATAAAAAGTAGTGTAGCATTAAGCGCGCTAACATAAACCCTTTCGTGAGTTTACCATATGAGAAATGTATATAATGACATAAATAATGTAGGCTATTCTTATGAGGATTCTTAAAAAAAAAACATGTATTAAAAAATTGACTCCTTCTCCTCTATTAGTTAACCGCCTGTCGAAGTTGACCACTAAAGCAATGCTCCACAATTGGTCAACTTGCACAGGTTTTACTGTATTATGAATAAAAAATAACTTGTAGTAATTATATTTACCGCAAAAGGTGTAATAAATAAAGAAATGTGTTGACTGTAGGCAAAGAATTCGCGTGGCAAAGCATCGTTAAATAAGTAAGTAATTTATGGGTAGATACTTTTGTGACTTTTATTAATGTTATATTATTACAACCAAAAATATCTCGATCTTTTTTGTATTTCCATATCACGACCATACAGGAAATGTATATAATGACATACATAATGTATGTTATTCTTATGAGGATTCTTAAAAAAAACATGTATTAAAAAAATGACTCCTTCTCTATAAGTTAACCGCCTGTCGAAGTTGACCGCCGAAGCAATGCACCACAATTGGTCAACTTGCACAGGTTTAACTGTATTATGAATAAAAATAATAACTTGTAATAAATATATTTACCGCAAAAGGTGTAATAAATAAAGAAATGTGTTGACTGTAGGCAAAGAATTCGTGTGGCAAAGGATCGTTGAATAATGATAAGTAATTTATGGCTAAATACTGTTATGACTTTTATTAATGTTATATTATGACAATCAAAAATATCTGGGTCTTCTCATATACCACCAAGATTTCTCATCGAAACATTTTTATGAATAGTTATAAATATCGATATTTGAATACCAATTTTTGCGAGTTTAGAAAGTTTTTCTTTATAATTCATCTAGAACATTTATTCAAACTTTGACGCGAGTGTTTAAGTATGTTCTTATAATTTTAAATCTTAACACCTGAGTAAAGATGTGACGTGACGATAGAAATTCCTTGCTCTTATTTCAGTCGTTCATAAAATAATACGAAAATGACGGTGTCTATTATTTCAACCATAAAACATTTGTAATATCACGCTGAGAAAATTGTTTATGTGGGTGTATAGATCAAATTGTCACAACACTTGAACGATCGCAGTAAAATACAATTTCATTGTCGTCATTCTGGATGCAATAGAAATGGTAATAGCTGTCAGCATTTTGATTGGTCCTCTAGCGACAAAAAAAGGAATGAATTTGCTGATTAGGTTGTATCCTAAACTTTAATAATAATAAATCGTGAGAATTTATAAATATGATATTTGTTTAGTTTGTTTTTCAAAATTTTCCAAAACTATTTAATGATGCGCATTCAAGTAGCATAACTCTTTTTGCTGCTCATATATTTTTATTGATCGTCACATATTTTAAGCAATATGTCTTGTAAATTTAAACTCTCTCTCCATCATTTTTCAATAGCAAACGCACCTTCCAATATTTGAAGTTTTTGTCAAATATTTCTACATTAAAACAGAAAGCTTGAAAATAAATGGAAGTATGTGTTATAAAGCTTTCAGAATTTAGGAACGTGACAACTTGTCTAGCTGACCTCTTATATATCTGTTTAAATTATTTATCTGTAATGTTAAATTAAATCTTTCCAATTCCTATTTAATTATATATTAAAAAGTTACCTTTGTTTCCGCTGTGAAAAGTATTTTCCGAAACTACGGAAATTCCCTAGTAGTTGGAGGGTATTGTGATCCATAAATCACATGAAAACAGTTTTTAATCTATATTCTCCAGCTTTTTTTTCCATTCCATTTTTAATAACTGAATGAATTTTTATTAGAATTATTTTTCCTTGTGAAAAAAAAAACTATAGAATCATAAAATTAAATAAATAAAATATGGATTAATTTTCTGCTTATTCCCAAAAAAGACTTGCTTATAAGAAATTAAGAACGTGAAGCAGAATGGAGGGAAAAAATAATCTGCAGGAAAGCAACGTTGACGTGTCAATTAAAACAACAACAAAAAAAATTATACATATTAGAGGGGGGGGGGCTTTAGGAAAATCGACCTGAGTAGTATTTCATGGAAAAAAAGTTTTAAGTTAAGTCGCTACTTTAGTAATTAGTGCCCATTGCTGAAAATCCAGCTAGAGTTAGGGATATTGAAATTAAAATTGAAAACAAAAAATAGTGAATAATTTAATTGAAATTTGCTCATCTATTTTTTTTTCTAGAGAGGAAATCTTGTGATATTTTGGAATTCATAGGAATTTTTTCTGTGTGTGTGTTTTTTTTAAGGCAATTTACTTATTTTTCAGTGGGGTGGAAGACCTAAAGAAAATTGAGGGATACGTGTGATATAATATTTGGCAATATATAATTTTAAATTTACCACCAGAAAATGTTGCTGATTCCCGGTAGATGGCGATATTTTTAACTTGCATAAAGTACACTAGCGAGATTTTTTTTAGTTTAAACTCATGTTTGTGAAAATTGCAACACCATGAAGGACTTACGCCAGTGAGCTGAAATTTTCAGGAAAGGCAAAGTAGAGCATAATATGCAAATGATTAGAATTTCAGACCCGTAGCGCATGCGTATGCTGAGCAGCCTCTGAACGGCTGATGGATTCGAATAAATAGACGGCTGTAGCGAGGCGTGTATGGTTATCGGTGGTTATCTGCTAGTGGTAAACGTTAGCTCAGACGTTACTTATGCCTCTTCGGCGAAAGAGAGCTAGATTTCAACAACTTACGGAGTTTGAAAGGGGGAGAATCATCGGTCTTCGTTAAGCTGGATTGTTTCATCGTGCAGTAGCAGCTCGTGTGCAGCGTAACAGCAGCACAGTAATGCGTGTTTGGAAGCAGTGGACGGACGAGTGTCAGACAACTCGGAAATCCGGGAGTGGACCCCGGGAGCTTGCGATGTTAGACACCTGGTCCGCATGGCGCTGACAGACCGTACGGCTCCCTCTAGACAACTGGCAGCACAGTGGTCCATAGCTACAGGTGTTTCATTGTGTGCTTCATCAATTCGTAGACGTCAACTGCACGCTGCGCGCAAGGACTCCTTTATACAGGATCACCCTTACGCTAAACCATAGTCGCCTGCGGCTACAATGGGCCAATCAGCATAAGGACTGGCATGCTGATTGGCAGCATATCGTGTTTTCAGACGAATCCCGCTTTAATTTGTGGTACTATAATGGCCGCATTCGTGTCAGACGCTATGCCTGTGAACGCCACCTTCCGAAGTGCATTATCGAACGCCACAGTGGACAAACACCCGGAGTTATGGTCTGGGGTGCCATAGCATATCATGGACGATCTGAATTGCTACGAATTGTGGGTAATCTGAACAACGACCGGTACATCAGTGAAGTTTTACAGCCTCAAGCTGTTCCCTTCCTTCAAGCCTTACCAGGCGCTGTATTTCAGCAAGACAATGCCCGCCCTCATATTGCTAGGACTGTTCAATCCTTCCTTTTCCTTGCGGCATGTACAGCTTCTTCCTTGGCCCGCGTATTCCCCAGCCACCGATTGAACATGTGTGTCATTTCGTTGGTAAGTGCCTCGCTCGTGATCCTCGTCCTGTTGCTTCTACAGACGAACTTTGGGTACGCATACAAACTATATGGAATGTTCTTCCTCAGCAATTTTAGGCTAATTTCGCCGATAATCAGCAAATAAAATAAAACCTTTTTAGTTTTTCTTTGTACCTGATGAGAAACACGTGGTCCAAATTTGAGACTTCTGTCTCGGTAAAAACGCTACTTAAAATTATTAAACTGCCGCGATAAACCCTGATACTTAAAAATACTGAAATAAATATTTTTCTTTAATGAAACTACACTAGTAAAAACGTGTTGTTCAGTATTACTGTCAGTTAGGCATTTACTGCCTAATTTCCCAGATGAATACAAATATCGAAACAAAACTTGTTTAATTATATTTATCTTATAAGGAACTAATGATTCAAATTTAAAATTTTCATCTTGGTAAAAATCGTTATATTTAGTAGTATTATCAATTCTGGGTTAATAACCCCTATAATTACAAAATATCGAAATGCAACTCTTATAGGTTTTTTTTTTTATATCTGATAAGGAACACATAGTCCAAATTTGAAACTTCTCTCTTGGTAATTATATAGCTTGGTGTTATATAGCATAACCGTCAGTTAAAAGCTAATTACCCCCGAATGTTTTCGAATCCTGTATTTTCTTCAACAATAATTTAATTTGAATAATTTTTTTTTCTTATCCATGAAGTAAAAAGTGTGAAGCACAAAGCGTTGGAAGAACTTAAATCTTCAAACGAATAATATTAAAAGCTATTGCTAATTACCCCCAAATGTTTTCAAATCCTGTATTTTTTTCAACAATAATTTAATTAGAATAGTTGTTCTTTTATCCACGAAGTAAAAAGTGTGAAGCACAAAGCGTTTGAAGAACTTAAATCTTCAAACTAATGATATGAAACATTTTCTACGAACACCAATAACGTTTTATTTCCTACTTAGATGCTCTATTCGAGTTTTATTGCTTTGAGCGAATAAGTTGTAACAATTCACTCTTTTATTTTATGAAATAAAGCTTAACAATGCCTTTAAATATTTTACCTAACTTACGATTATAGTGTTAATAAAAAAAGTATTTACGCAGCTCACATAAGATGTCGATGAGAAAAATTGATAAAAGATTTCCACTAAACGGACGAACTTTTGTTGGTCTGAAAACACACAAGGCAGGTAATGTGACATTCTTTGTTTGCAATTAACGTTCCTCTAACAATATATTTACACCTGAAAAAATTATTTTTTGAACTATTTTGTTTTACTTTATTTATTAAAGACTGATGAAATCAAAAAGTCTTATCGAGCTACATTTTATTATTTAGAACACCGCGAAAAGTTTTCAGTTTGCAACTAAGGAAGTTTATAGGCAATAGAATAAAAGGGAAATTAATAAAGAATTAAAAACTACATCTTTCAAGTAGACTAAAAATGAATAAATAATTCTGTTTTTGTCGGACCAGAAACAAAAATGCAGAGCTCATCACTTTTAAAATGCGTGAAAGTTTTCAGTGGTGATAGAAATTTATTTTTAAAAGCAATATCTCCTATGTTTTAATTTTTAGTGTTACAAAGACAAAAATATATTCTCCTTTTTGACTCTTGAAGTTTTATTTTTATCTCTGTTATGCCTAATGTCGGAAAGCAGTGGATTTTGCTTACACAATTTAGAAAACAATTGGATAAGCTAAAACTAGAGTATTGGTAGCTAAAACTGGAGTAAGTTTAACCCGTCAAATATCAATTCTCTTAAGTGACACATTCTATATTCTTTCATAAAAAAAAAGATTTTATTTATTTCTTAACCCAAAGGTATTCTCGAAATCATGTAGAACATAAACTAATTATGCAACAAAGTTACCAAATGCTGAAAACGAAAATAGTAACGGTTGCAGTAAAATACATAAATAAATAATAAATTCAGGCTAAATAAGACAAAAAAAAATTTTATTTTAACAAATTCAATATGTAATACGGCGTTGTACTTAATTAACCTCACATTAATTAACATTCTAACTTAGGTGAGGAAACTTAGCTTGATCTTAGCCTACAATAGCAAGAATATTAACACACCATCTTTTTTAAAGTTGTGAGGTGGTTATGTATCATTGGTCTTCTTCTTCTCGAGTTGATTTGTTACCATTACTGTATCAGGCACAGATTTTTAGTCGAAACTTTAGCCGTTCAGCTGGTTCGAAAAGTGATCGAAATTTCGATTGTAGATCAATACTTTTTTGCCTTAAAATGGTGTCATCAGTTCTGTTTGAAGCGGTTAGAAACTTCAATTACGAACATTTTAACAGGTCGGACAGTAGTTGGAGTTTGTAATGATCTTTATTGATTCTATAATTGCTCTATGTTGATTATTTGGCGAAAATTTTCGCTTGTAGTTGTCAGAAGAAGGATTGAAATTGTTGTCATCCAGAACAATGTTCCGGTAGAGTTTTAAGTGTTATAGCCTATCGAAAAGTGGTTGAAATTTCAAGTACAAGATTCCATCCTTACAGCAAGTAAACAAAAATTAATAAAATTAAAGTTTAAAAAAAACTTTCAGTTTGCAATGTTAACTCAAATATTGCTATTGCTGGTTCAAAAGTTACATGAGTAAGTGGAATTCAGTGGAAGTTTTAATTTCCTTTTTTGTTTACAGGTGCAAAAAATTAAAATACTTCTTTCTTAGAACTCTTAAGATTTTCGTTTAGTAAACAGTGGGGAAAAATACGAGATTACATTCATTTATTTTATAACTTTTCTCCGTATATTCATTAAAAGAAATATAATAAACATTTTATTATCGATATTATATAAAGAACAATTTTAACATAGGAACATCTATCATAGTAGAATGACAATGGATGAAACGTCATGATTTATCATGAAATATTGGTTTGTTTGTTCGCGATAACAATATCCTAAAACGTGTTTCTACGATATAGCGTAAATACGGTATTCGGAAATACATACTATAATATCGCAGTCCTTATCGATAATTTTAAAATAAATTTTCTATCTTCAATGGAGTAACAAAAATATTGTTCAATGTAAATGTATGTTAAGTTTTAAAATTGGAAATTATAGTGATATACATTGTTAAATGTATATCATGATATTATATTATAATTTTGATGTAGTGCGGAACTTTAAAGGACCATGGTCTTGTTCTTTTTTTCTTCCCCTGGCCACCTTATATTACGAGGTATATGTGGGCGAAACTGTTATGCTCGGAAACTATTTGATGTAGTTAATAAACGTGATCGTCTCCACGTCGTTGAGGGGTCACGGAAGTCGCATGAGGCAATCAGGCCTATATAGAGGAAGACCTGTCAAATGACAATTCATTGGTAAGATTTGTTGACGCGAACAATCAAAACAATAAATAATCGCTTAACTAGCTTTTTAGAACTTTTTCTCCAAAATGCATTGCGATGTTGCTACACCACACGTGCGTTGTTATTCTACTCCTCAATAGTTTTTTCAGTTTTCGTTCTTTTAACCACAATAGCCTTCCACTAAATTTAACTTGATCAATTGATTTTTTATATCGATTATTCCCAACTTAACTTTAACCGAGTATCGTTTTGCTCCTTTCCGCGTGCTTTCTTGGCGTCAACTGAGAAAGCCGCGGCATGAGAGAAACAATGTTCTTATTTTTGAAACTTTTAGGCTCTCACCTTTCAGTTAAATTTTTAGTACTTCACCCCTTTTTCGGTATTCGTATTGACAACAGGACGTTCGAGATCGCTTTGAACACTCGGAACACTGCGCGTCAATTTTCATAATTATTCACATTAAGGGCCAATGGTACGTAAAAAATGTGGAAGCTTCCTCACTAAAATCTAGACGGTAAATCATTGTTATTTTATAAAATAAATTTTACGACTCAATTCCAATGAATTTATAAATAAGATATAAAAAGGTTTAAAAGGAATATCATTAGAAACACCGAAGGAGTCATCGTGGAATACTTTGCATGCCTTTATCAGCAAATAATTTTTATATTTTAATTATGTAGTGTGAATACTTACGTTCTACCATCGTTGATACTATGAAACTAATCAGAAGCATGTTGACTAGCATCTCAGAAGAATTACGAGTCTGGAAAAGAAACGTACAAATGTTGTAAAACATGTCGTTGTAGAAGAATATTTAAAAGCAAACACAACATTTGTTTTTCCATTACAAAAGCTGTAACATTTGCCATATTTTAGCACTTGAAATTATTTAAAATTTCATCTGTCTCAGATTTATTGATTCTTAGTTACGCATTGAAGATGATTTAGTGCAAACGCAGCAAAATGTAGGGTGAATCTCAGGGCTAAAGAGAAAAGAAGGGCTGGTTCACTCCTTTGAAGAAACTCTCGCCGCGCCAATCCCCCGATTTTCTCTAGTAACGTCACTTTGGCCCAAAGCTCGCACTTTTACTTCAAGAACGGAGCGTTCGGCCTTAACTAACTAATATTGGAGCATTTCTTTTTGCGAGATATTCTAAGACATTTGTTATTTTCTATAATGACTTTCCTCAGTTTTTGCAGTGAATTTACAAGAATTTAAAACTATTATCGAAATGCCAGTTNAATAATAATCGTTTTTATTAGAATAATAATCGTTATACAATAATAACGATTTTATTTATAATGATATCGTTTTTATTTATAATAATATCGTTTTTATTTATAATAATAATCGTTTTCATTTCTAATTTTTATAATAATAATCGGCAATAAATATCGTTTTTGAATAAGCTACATTTTTTGTAATTTTATTCAAAAATAAGTAAGTTTTATTAATCAGTTAGATAGTTCACTCTTGTCGGTCAGAACTGTATTCTTTATTTCAAAATGATTTAAAAAACACTATTTATAAGTAGATTTTAATGGTTTAAAGAAGTTTAGTTAATTGTGCAAAAATGGTTACAGAAGCTTATTTTAAAGTTAAAACACGCAAAACAAATTTTCTTTGAATATTCCCAAATTATTTTTCTAGTCAAAAGCAGGAAGTAAATTTTAAACAGTCACATTTCTCTCTGGTTTAATACATTCAAAATTCCATCAAAATTAGGTGTTTTCACTGAATTTAAGATAGAATTCTTGTTCATTTTTTTTTTGCATTTCCTTCATTGTTTGTCTTTTTTTAAATGTTGTAGGAAAAAAATTAATTAATTTGCCTGAATATAAATGAACACAATTACAAGGGGGAATAATTGACTTTCAATTTTTTTCTGATGTAATTCAGAATATTCGAGACAATTAACTCGAAATAAGAAAAAACACATATCTCGTATTAAAGTCATTATCAATTTACCGCCGATATAAACTTTAACGTTTGTTTCGTTCTCTCTACTTTTATTAATAAAAAAAATATATATTGGACATCCATTTAATAAAAATGAATGTTTCTTTTTATCTTTTAGGTTAAGAGCGATCGTAGCTTCAGCTCTAAGAGCGGAGTGAACTAGCCCTTCTATTCTCTTTAGCCCTGATATGGAAATGATCTTTGATTGCACTGTAAGCAACAACTCGTAACGGAATGTTAACAGAGATGCCAACTGCTCGGGACAAAGCTAAAATAATTTTAAAACAAACAACAGTAAATAACTACAAACTAAATTTTGCAAATATTTGATTATTTTTGCTTGCTTTTAAAAAGGTATAGTATGACATAACTACTATAAAGTGGTGAATTATATAAGCCTACGAATGAATTATTTAGAAATAGCAGTGGATTAAAATCTACTAAATTGAATTTATTAAACCAAGCATCACAGTTGATAAAGAAACCACTTTAAAATATTTATTTGTTGTACTGAGCAAGTTGGCATATCTGTGTTGCAGACGTCTGAGACACGTCAATTATTATTTTGACATAAGAAACAAATGACGTCTCCCAGACGTTTTCTTATATCAAGGGGTTAAGGGCACAGAACAATGTTGATTCGAACCGACAGATCTGCAGAGAAATGCTCGTTTTGCGAATCAAGAAATCTCAAAGGATGCCAGTGTACTGCAAAATTTATATGTTTAAACACATAATTTTTTTATACAAAAGTATTAGTTTCTGAAGATATTAGTTTGGTAGTTGACAAAAAGTGTTGACTTAAGAGGACGCTACACCGCAAGAGAAATCCATCATGGCGAATTCTTTTTCACCTTCATTGGTATTTTTTAATTTAAAGAATATTGAGTTCAGGTAAGTTAAGAGTCAATCATGAAATTTCAAATGCTGAAAAAAAAACTCTTTCGAAATATTATACGGTAAATAAATTATTGCAGGATAACCTTCCCACTTCATTATCGTCCCATAATTTGTTCGCATCTTGATATTTTTAAAGCAATATTTCAGCATTTAAAACTTTATGATTTAATCTCGTCTTACCTTAACTCACTTATTCTATATTTAAATTACTTATGTATGTAAAAGAGAATTCATCATGAATGATTTTTCTAGCTGTATAACTTCCTCTTAAGAGACTTCAAAGAGCACCTTTTGCGGCCTATCTCTTCTACGAGTTGTCATATTTTATGTCATGAATCATTCAATAAATATTTATTTTTCGTGAACTATGCGCCGAGCTATTTATCCTGACTATTTATTTTTGTTTTCATAGATATCGTTAGTAACTAATATGTATTCTTTTAATTACCTCTCCCTGCTTTAGATTAAATTATTGTTCTAAAATATATCCACTAGAATTAAAAAAAGATGCTATAGTTAGAAAATGCGTTACTGTACTTACAACAATGATGTAGATTTATTTATATGTTATACATATTATATTGAATGCAAAAAAAAAGGAATAATGCTGAATAAATTTTGATCTAATGATGGGATTTTCACGTACTAGGACTCAATCTTAATGTTTCATGAGGGTGGACCTAAAATATGCTGATTAATTAGGTCAGACTATCCTTAAAATTACAAAAAGTGAAAAAGTAGTACAAAAAAGTATTTTATCCGACTGAATATATTTATTACAGAACATTTTAAAACATTTATTCAACGAAAGCGAGTGAAGAATTTTAAGAATAAAACACAAAAACATCTACTTAATAAAATCCACTGAAGAGAACAACATCAACAATTATTCCTTTTCAATTATCATAAATGAAGCTTTAAGCCCTGTCTATCTAAGGAGATATCCTTTAATTCGTTATTTAATGTAATTTAATTCCTATAGTATCTTCAAACTGATTTAAAATTTAACACTGTGTATGTACAATGAAAAAAAAAAAAAAAAACGGAACACCTTGAATAATATTTGATCTAATGATCGGATTTTTTTCGTTCTAGGACTTAATGGTTCGAGGGGGTTGACCTCAAATATGCTAATTAATTAGTGCAGACGATATTTTAAGTTACAAAATCAGACACAAAAACGTACTTTCTCTAAATAAACATACCTTTTTTTCCGCGGATTCAGATTTCTGACCTTTAAAATGTAGGGGGTAGCCACAATCTGGGAACTATGGTCAGTTAATTTGGTTAGGAGAGCAATCCAAATGTTCCCTTAATGTTAAAATTACTTTTTGCGTATTTCGCTATATCTCGAGAACTTTTTAAACGAATTTTTAAAAAAAATTACACACAATCATAAAATTCGTTTATCTAAAGATGATTCCTTGCAGAAAATAACTTTTAGTAAATATTTATTATTTTATTTAAAAATGGTTAAACAAATTTTGAATTGTCGATGTACAATTTTTTGCATCCTTTTAAAGAATGTATAATTTTGTCTAACAAAATACAAAATTTGTGCAAAATCGGACGAACAGTTCCTGAGAAATCTTAGTTTTAAGTATCTGATTTTTTTTGAAATTCGACTTCTCAGGAACTATTCGACCCATTTTGCTCAAATTTTGTATTTTGCTATATAAAATTACATTCTTTAAAGTGATTCAGAAATGATATAACCTTATAATTCAAAATTTTTTCGACCATTCTTAAATAAAATAAAATAATAACGATTTACTTAAAGTTATTTTTTGCATAGAATTACCTTCAGATAAACTAATTTTATTTTTATAATTCTGTGTAAAATTTTTCAATTAGCATAAAAAGCTTTCGAGACATAGCGAAATACGCAAAAAAGAAAAATTAACATCAAGGGTGTCCAAACTTTGGAGCGCTTCCCTGTGATTTGGGGGTTCAAAAACCCGAATCTGTCGAGAAAAAGGTATGTTTATTCAGAGAAAGCACTTTTTATGTCTAATTTCGTAACTAAAAATATCGTCTGCTCTTATTAATTAGCATATTTGAGGTTACCCCCTCGAACCGTTAAGATTGAGTCCTGGAACGTGAGGATCCAATCATTAGGATCAAAAGTTATTAAAGGTGGTCCAATTTTTATTTTGCGCACTACATAATACGCAAAAATAATAATCGAAATACTCTGCATTATATTTGATCTAATGATTGGATTTTCAAGCACTAGGACTCAATCTTAATGGTTTAAGGGGTGATTAATGTTACAAAATCAGACACAAAAACGTACTATCATTGAATAAGCATAACTTCTTTTCTAACAGATTTGAATTCTTGCTCTTCAAAATATTTAACTGTCATATCTTTCATCGTCAATCGTGAACATATAAGATTCAGTCCTGGTACGCGAAAATCCGATCACTTGATAAAAAATTATTCAGAATGTCCCCCCCCCCCCCCANCCCCCCCCCCCACACACACAGATATGCCAATTGCTCCGAACATGTCAAAATAATTTAAAAAACGGTAAATAACTATTAAGTAAGTTTTGCAGATATTTAACTATTTTTGTTTGCTTTTTCAAAAGGTATAACATGACATAAGTAGTATAAAGTGGTGAATTATCCAAGCCTGCGAATTATTTAGAATGGTGGATAAAAATCTACTAAATTGAATTCATTGAACCAAGAATCATAATTGATAATCAACCACTTTAAAATATATATTTGCTGTCCGGAGCAAGTTGGCATCTCTGCACTCAACATGAAACAAGTGAATTTCATTTTCGTTACTTAGCAGCTGGATGTTATAGTACTTTGCCTTTGTCCTGAATGCTTATTATGGTTTTATTAGTCATCAATAATGTTATTACTTATTTTCTCACCATATTAGATGCA